CAAAAAACCTCCCTCTGACAGTTTTCTGTGCCTTGCTGGGGAGGAACCACCAAGGCAAGATGGTTGGGGAAGATGAAACAGGAAAGCTTTATAAATATGATTGTCTGGCAAAAGATTTTGAGAATATAGAAACTATAAGCGAGATTGAAATGAAAACAAGCTTTGAGATACCTCAGTTACTGAACAACTGGAAAACAATGGTGTGGCTGGCTGAAGATGATCCCCCTTTTGATGGAACAACACCCTCTGCTTGCAGACAGGCCCAAGGGTCAGAGCAGACCCTGCCAGCTTGGCAGAAGGGGCCCAAAGAGGAGTTTTTAGGGTTTCAAATGTAACACAGTATGGTAATGTAGTGATTCTTATAGGCTGGATGTAAATGCTGTAGGATTCGTATATTGTACTAGATTGGCTAGTGAGAATTAGAATATTTAGCACAGAAGAAGATTTATTGTATTGTAACAGGAACTTCTCTCTCTTACTCTTACTCCCTTACGCTTTTACCCTTTTACTCTCTCACCCTCTCATCCTCTCTGCCCCTCTCCTCTCTCAGGCCTGCTCTGGGCTGTGTCTGGCAGCTCCCAGCAGGGCCCTGCCCCCAGGCCCTTTGCAATAAACCCCAGGTTCCAGCCCTGGCTGCAGAGATCTCTCGTCTCCATCCGTCCCCACTGTCCTACCCCACAATGCTCCCACACAAGATCATGGCTCTAATTTGATTAAATGCCTGGTCACAGGTGATGTTTTAACTTGAGTCCCAATAAAGGGTTTTGCAGCACACACCTGTCACATTGTTGCATTATGGAGATTTCCTTGATGATTTCTTGCAGGTCAGATTCCACAGGAACTTGTTTAATTGCAACAACTTGACCCGTTTCTTTATGGATGGCTTTGAATACACTGCCATAGGAACTGGAAAACAAAACATGAAACAAATACTGAATATAGTAATGTTTTAAAAATATTAATGTTACTGTTTTGCTTTTTGTGAGTGTAACCATTAGGTAAAACATTAACTATCCTTTAGTTAAAAATATTTTGTATTTTAATGTAACTAATCAGCCCACTAACTTTTAAACACTGTAATACAAATAAGTCAGCAAACTTGGACAGTGAGGAAAGAGCATACCATCATTACACTGACCATAGCTTTGGAATGGCCTTTCACACAAATTCAACACCTAAAAAGTCTCTTTTTCGAGCACAAAGTACAAGCTGAGCATCAGTAAGAACTACAGCTCTGGTCAGAGAGGTTTGTTTGTTCCTGTCAGACATTATCACTCTCATTTCCAGCTTCTTTACTTACAGCAGCCAGGCAGATTTACAACTCAGTCATTTCAAACTGCTCCAGGCCGTGAACATGTTACTCCAGGAGTGTTCCCATGCTGCTCTGCCTCACCAAAGGGCACAGCATCACAAGTTCACTTCCACCAGGCAGATTTTCCTCAAGATGTACCAGGGATGAAGTACAAAATCTTTGACTTCCCACAGGGCTCCACCAACTCCAGGCTGGGATTTTTTCACAAACTTTTAAACTCCCTACTGCTGACCCATAACCTGCTAGTTGGATTAAGCTCCTGGGAATCAAATTCTTTATTCAGTTATTAACCAAATAATGTCAGTAGCTACCTTTCAGAAAGGACCATGACAAAAATGAAACATCAGAACACTCCTCTGTTACACAGATGTGTTTTCCTAGAGAAATATACATTGGGTCCACTGGATCACAACACATACCCTTCTCCAAGCTTCTCCAGGACATCAAATACTTCTTCAGGCTGTTTGGTTAAACTGTCTTCATCTAACTTCTTCAGCTGCCTGTATGGGTAAGAAGAGAGAAATTATTACATTTAATTTTATGGCAGTTTGGGCTCTGCTGAAACAGAAGAATAAATACCACCACTTAAACATACAGAAGGTTTGGCATGAAGTAAATTGACTATGAAGTAAGTTTATTTCACCTGATGAGGAGACCCAATATTATTAGTATACAATAGCAAAAAAGGATTGGGAATTACAAAGAATAGAACGTGAGCAGGCACACAAATCCACAGCTCCTCTTGGCAGAAATCAGTTTCAGGATCTATATGCTGGTGGTCACATCTCAGCATGGCACAGTCTTGAAGCCACTGAACATATCTGCTGAATTTCAGTATCTGGAATGGAAGGATGCCTACCAAAAAAACAAGGGAATACCACCTTCCCTGATGCTTAGAGTATGTGTGGAATACATTTGTTGGGAGGCAGGAGGCAATACTGCTCTCACCTGGACATTTTTAACATCGAAACTTCAGATCTTAACTTCATGGGCCTGGACATTTACTAGGAAGATTATATCAGGAAAAAGGAAACTGCATCTGACTCTCAGGATCTTGATGCCATCCCTCTTAAAGTAACGCTAATAAGAGTCAGCTGAAATAATTTCTAGGAATAAAAACCTGCCATGTGCTGTGGTTCTTCACATGGCCCCCCTTTCCCCCAGAACAGCTTTTAGGGAGATGCCATACACAAAGCAACAAGAAGCTCAATCATATTTGCTTGAGTCTGCACTGGAGAGCTGTTCACCAAACCTCCTGAAACAGCTAAGGACTACATAACAAAAAGGTCTGAAAACAGTATTTTATTGTCAGTGGTAAGAGTATCCAACTGCCCACAAACAAGTGCTCTTTCATTTTCACATGAACTAAAAAAATCTGAAACAACAATAAACAAAAACCAGCCAACAAAACCCCCTACAAACTCCCTAAGTCAGCTCATTTGAGTTTTTCAAACACAGAAACTTAAAAGAGTCAGAGTTTTTAGCACTGGCTGGTGTTTAAAGTAAAACACGTGTGGTTGCCTGCAACCGCGAATTGCTCCTGAAAGCTCTTACAGCTGCTGCTAAAGATCAGGACTCCGGTCACAGGAATACTAATTTTTGTACTAAATATGTAACTTTTTAACCCAATTTCTTCAGAAATAGAATGAAAAACCATTCATTGACCCCTGGCTATTATGTTTATGTACAAAAGCCACAAGGGAGGAGCAGCTCACGCATGGAGCACATACAATGGCTTCCTGAAGCAGAGGAAACATTATATAGAAGCAGACTCAGGAAGTGGTGAAATACTGAAAGTAGCTGCTAGCTTCCCTGCTCAGATAAGCATAAAACAGAATTTACTTGTCCCTGTGAAAATGGAGAGGGAAGAAGCTGTGGGAAAAGGGGAAAAGCAAGTAACACATGAACCAGAAAACACATAAGACCATTTTTAAGGAGCCCAAAATGGGCTCTTGTGGTGATGCAAGAGGCAGACCCTTCTTGTTTAAGTTGAGGCCTAAATTCTACTAGCATAAAAGGAAAAAAAAAAAAAAAGACTTTTCATATACCCAAACACAATAATCAGACAACTACTGTGCTTGCAGCAAACAGCATAATTTCTACTACAGACCAGGAGTCCAATTACTTCGCATTGTCCTGCTCCACCGAGTGCACTCACTGCTGTCTGACACACTCTGCCTTTCTCCTGGATGTTTATACCACACAGATGGAACAGCAACACAAACCCAATCTCACCTCTGTTGTTATTCAGATCTAATCTTAATCGCCTGCCCCATAAGCAATTATAGAATAAAACCAAGTTGTTTTGTTTTTTAACAGAACATACATCACTGTTTAACCAAAGGGGCCGATGCCACTGGGGAGCAGCGCCAGCCGCTTCCTTTGTTCGCTGCCGGAGCGTCCCCGGGTCCCAGCTGCGAGGCACTGATAGGATTCGGACACTGACACTTCATCCCAGCTCT